AGCCGCATGGGCGTGGAGCGCAGGGAAAGCCGGCCGCCCCGCCCTGCGGCCTCAAGCCTGCCTCTCAGGTACCACCACACCTGGATGGTGGGGGTAGCAGGGGCTGAGAGAACCCGCGGGCGAGGGGCCCAGCTACTCCCCTCGGGGCAGCAGTGCCAGCCTGGTTTTGGGGGAAGGACTGCCCGAGCCCCCCTAGGATTCCCAGTCCTCCTCGTCCTCGTCCTCCTCTCCTGGTGGCTGCTGTGGGGGAGGCAGAGGTGGGATGGAGTCTGACATCCAGGTAAAGGCTCCTCCTGGCCCCTCACTGGCCCCGGTCCCAGGGCCTTTCCCGGAGATGCCTGGGAGGGAAGAGGCTGAGTTAGAAGTTGACCCAGGCCCTGGGGACCCGAGGACGGCAGGACGGTATGTGTGTCGGGCCAGCCTGGTCTTTGCGCCGCATGGCCAGCTTGTTAAAGAGTCCGACATCAGGTCCCGCCTTGACTCGCGGCTCTCACTGGAGCGGGAAAGCCACGCCCAGGGCAGGGGCCGAGTCTCCAGCTCAGTCACTGCTTTCTGCTCACGACCCAGCCCCAGGGCCCTCCCAGCCCTCTCCACGGGCACCGTGCCCACTGCAAGCTCTCAGCACGCTGGGCCGCCTGTGGGCACTAGAAAGACGTCCGTCCTCAGTGGCATTCCCGTGGCTGCCCTGGCGGTGCCAGCAAGTGTGGCGTTGCACCGCGGATGAGAACGCCCCGAGGGCTCCGGCCGCAGGGCAGGGCTGGGCTGCCCGCCCCAGACGTGGGCTGCCAGGCTCCACATGCCCAGCTGTTCCGTCATGCCAGGTTGGCATCAGCAGCAGACCTGTGGCCTCGGGAGGCTAGCCCTCGGTTCTGTGTCTAAAAATGCATCGGGGCCTGGCGGTTCCCTCGGCAGCTCTTGGCTGAGGCTAAGATCCACTTCGGTCACAGTTGGAGCTCAGCGAGCGCAGAGGGAAGCGGTAGGAAGGAGCCAAGCAGGAGGGCTGAGGAAGGCGGGGGCAAGCTGGCCGGAGTGCTGGCCCTCACAGGGTGGGCACAGCTGCTGCTGGACTCGGGGTTCCTGGAGGGTCGGGAGCCCTCTGCCCAGAGCCCTCCCTGGCGGTCCCCGACCTTGCTCCTGCTCCTTCTGTTTCTCCTTGACGCTGCACAGCGGCCTTGCCCACGCCAGCCTGGCGGATAGACTCCAGCAGGGCACCCAGCCCCTCGATGGGTCGACCACGTCCTTGGGAGCGGCCTCGGCTCAGTGGCCTCACCTGGAGAAGAGCCCCAGGCCTCACCCCAGCCCAGCCACTCCACCTGCTGCTCCAGCTGCTTCCTCTTGCTGATGGACAAAGGGGCATCGAACAGCTTCTCCTCCGTCTCCGCCCCCAGCATCACATGGGTCTTTGTCGTGGCACCAGCCAGGGGGTCCAGGAAGACATACTTCTTACACCTGTGGGGTGGGACGGGGTCAGGCCAGCCGCCATCCTCTGCTCCTGACCTAACCCCCATGTCATCAGGGGGCTTAGACCACACTGTGGATGCCCAGCCTGACGACTCACCCAAGGGCCGGCTGCCACTCCCAGCCTCTGGCTGCACCAGGGCCTGCCCCCATGCAGCCTGGCCAGGCCTTACAGGTTCTCGGTGGTGTTGAGGAGCAGCAGGGAGCTGATGGAGCAGATGTTGCTGGGCAGACCCCTGAGCCCCTCCTCGGCTTCATCCTCAGGTTCTGCTTGGTGCTCACACACACGGGGAAGTATTTCGGCTTCTCCTGGGGACAGTGAGGACAGGGATGGATGCTAAACTCCACCATCCACGTTGACCCATGCCCTTCCCATCAGAATCCTCTTGAGCAGAGCCCTGGGGAACCTCTGGTCTCACCCAGAATCCAGGCCCTCCTGGGGTGTGGGGTGTGGGGTGTGTGGCCATCAGACCTGCAGGGCCTGCTCGTCCAGGGGCCGGTGCTTGCTCTGGATCCTGTGGCGGGGGCGTCTCTGCAGGCCAGGGTCCTGGGCACCCGTGAAGATGGACCTGTATTCCTGCAGGCGCTCTGGAGCTGGGTACTTGGCGCTGGAGAACACCTGTGGTCACAGGGACAAGTCTGAGGGCTCTGAAAGGTTGTTTGGGGCTGGGGGAGTGGGCAGGAGAGCCGGGGTGGCTGGATGGCAGGGGCCTGGCCCACTTTGGACATGAGGAGATGGAGGGGCTGCCCACCAACCCCAGGACATGGGCCCCGTGGGCTACCTTGGTGGCCTTCTTGCTGCTCTTGATCTTCTCAATCTTGGCCTGGGCCAAGGAGACCCGCTCCCCGATGGCCTGCAGCTGGCAGCAGCTCAGCTCTACCCACTGGGAGATCCTGCTCAGGAAAGACCAGAGGCTGGGGCTGCTCGTGACCCCTGCAGCCCACAGCTCACCCCCTGCAGCCCGCGGCTCACCCCACTGCAGCGTGCGGCTCACCCCCTGCAGCGAGCAGCTCAACCCCTGCAGCCCGCGGCTCACCCCCTGTAGCCTGCGGCTCACCCCCTGCAGCCCGATGCTCACCCCCTGCAGCCCCCGGCACCCCTCC